TGTGTGTGCATGCATGTGTGTGTGTCTATGTGTGCATGTGTGTGTGTGTGTGTGTGAGCACCTGTGTGCGTGTGTGTATGTCTGTGTGCACATGTGCATGCGTGTGTGTGTATGTGTGTGTGCGCATGTGTGTGTGTGCCTGCGTGCGTGCATGTGTGCCTGTGTGTGTGTGTGTGTGCGTGTGTGTGTGTGTCTGTGTGGCTGTGTTTGTGTGTGTGTGTGCCTGTCTGTGTGTGTGCCTGTCTGTGTATGTCTGTGTATGCGCGTGAGTGCATGTGTGTCTGTGTGTGCATATGTGTGTGTGTGTGCATGAGAGAGAGAGAGAGGGAGAGATAGAGAGTGTGACTGAGTTTGTGTGGGAAATTGAGTGAATGTGTATTTACGTCTGACAGTGTGTTTGTATGTGAAGGAGGAACTCCAAAGGGATATTAATTTCTTCAGTGAAAGGGAAAATCTGACCTGGAGAGATTCACAGTAAAACTTCCTCACGTTCCTAACACAACAATAACTGGCAATGTATCACAGTCCTCCTAATTGTTGTCTTTAACTGTTATTTGTGTTTCTGATATTTGTGTACAAGATTGCTCAAACCTGCTGGACAATAATGTTTAATCATTTCTCAGCATTTTAAATCAAAACAATATTCTTCCTACCAACGTGAATCACATTTCACCTCATTATATTCACCTGGCAATGATTCAAACATATGTCACACAATACAGACAACACGGTATATGATGTGATGGGATGCAGCAAACTCTGTTACACTCAGTATCCTCATGTTGCAATGTTGTAATATTCTGTCAGAAAACAGGCCTTGCATAGGGGGACAATGCCACTGGAAGTGTGGACTGGGCAGGGAACAGGGATTTTAACATGTCACTGTGGTAGTTTCTAAATCTCTGCCACAAGCAGAAATTTACACCTGCTCATTTGTGAATATTCAGTCTGAATTTGCAAGATTTCACGATTTGTCAATATTTAAAACAGCAAAAGCTCTGTCTTTCTATCAATGTGCTTTCTCCACATTATATTCCATCTGCCAATTACTTGCCCACACAGTGAACATAACCATATCTGTTTTACAGCCTCTTTAGTCATCCCCACAGCTTTCTGTCCCACCCAGTTTGGGTCTTGTCATTGAACGTGGAGACATGATACTTGCCCTTGTTGTCTAACTCATTGCTTTCAATTGTAAATGACTATGGCTTTACCAGTGACCTGTCTGGCTCCCTCACCAATACCAGCTCGCCAAGCTGGAACTGTTCGCTGTCCACCAGCCAATTCTCTGTCCTCCAGGGCACTTAACATTATAATGTTATAACATAGAGTCAGAGGAGTGTCAGCGATGGGAACATACAGAGGGAGTGAGTGATAAGTTTGGTGGGTTAGCGAATTGGGAGCGGGACATTGAAGGGCAGAATTACGCTGCACTCAAATGGCCATGGAGACCAAGTTCCCACTCCTCCTTGTCCTTTTCTGTTTATAAAGCCAGCGTGTGCTTTATAGTGAACAAACCAAAAATGGCTGACTGACTAATTCCTTTGGAATCATTTGTGCTGCCTTGCAGATTAAAACACATCTCACACTTTTAACACTTTTAACCCTAACCCTAACCCTAGGGTTAGGAGAGACATAGGAGCAGAAATTAGGCCATTCGGCCCATCGAGTCTGCTCTGCCATTCAATCATGGCTGTTAAGTTCCTCAACCCCGTTCTCCCGCTTCCTCCCCATAACCCTTGATCCTCTTGATAATCAAGAACCTATCTGTCTCAGTATTAAATGTACTCAATTTCCTGGCTTCCACAGCCTTCCGTGACAGTGAATGCCATAGATTCACCACTCTCTGCCTGAAGACGTTTCTCCTTATTTCCATTCTAAATGGTCTTCCCTTTACTCTAAGGCTGTGCCCTCGGGTCCTAGTCTCTCCTACCAATGGAATCATCTTCCCAACATCCACTCTGTCCAGGCCATTCAGTATTCTGAAAGTTTCAATTAGATCCCCCCTCATCCTTCTAAACTTCAATGAGTATAGTCCCAGAGTCCTCAAATGTTCTTCATATGTTAAGCTTTCCATTCCTGCAACCATTCTCGTGAACCTCCTCTGAACCCGCTCCAGGGCCAGTACATCCTTCCTGAGATATGGGGCCTAAATCTGTAATATATCTGTAATTGAACTAATCTCCTGGATAAAAACCAAGCAGCTTTTCAGGCCAGAAAGTGCCTGGCAGTGTCCTATAGAACTGCGGATGCTGTAAATCAGGAAGAAAAACAGAAGTTGCTGGAAAAGCTCAGCAGGTCTGGCAGCATCTGTGAAGGAAAAAACATAGTTAACGTTTCGGTTCCGGTGACCCTTCCTCAGATTGAACTGCTGAGCTTTTCCAGTGACTATGTATTTGTTCCTAATCTCCTGGATGGAATGATGGATCTGTGTGTGTGAGTGTATGAGGGTATGAGTGTGTGTCTGCACACGTGTGTGTGAGAGTGTGTGTGTGTGGGCAAGTGTGTGTGTGAGTAAGTGAGTGCGCGGGTGTGCGTGTGGGTGCTTGTGAGGGTGAGCACACTTGATTTTGCTGGTGAGGGAGTGTGCGCGAGTCTGTGGTGGAGTCTGCTTGAGCGAGAGATTGCGTTTGTGTGCGTGTGAAAGGTATGTGTAAGATTATGCGACTGCGAGACAGAGCGTGTGAGACTCTGCGAACATGTGTGAGCGGTTGTGTCAGAGTATGTGAATGCATGAGTGTGTGACGGTGCCTGGGTGCATGACCGAGCGTGTTTGTCTATGTGTGAGTGCTTGCCTGTGTGAGAATTTTAACGTGAGCCTGCGTGTGTTTGTGTAAGAGATTTTGTGAGTATGCCTTTGTGACTGTGCTTGTCGGAGAAACTCTAATGGATATTGAGGGAATGGGAGAATTGATACACTCCAAGACTTCCTCACGTTCCCAACACAATCTCCCGGCAATAACCAGCAACGTTGCATTTGCTGTCATAATTGTTAATTGCACCACTAGATTAACTGTTGGATATTTCCACACACCATAATACATAGGAGCAGAAATTAGGCCATTCGGCCCATCAAGCCTGCTCTGCCATTCAATCATGGCTGATAAGGTCCCCTTACCCCCTGGGCAATAATGTTTAACCACGTCTCACCAAGACATTCCCTTCTTTTCTGTTCTTCCTAAAAATGTAAATTACATTTCACCACATTATATTCAGCGTTTTAAATACAATATTAATTCACATGATACAGGCAACAAAGTAGATGATATGATGGGAAGTAACAAACTCTGTTACACTCAGTACCTTCGTGTTGCAATGTTATAATATCCAGTCAGAAAACTGCCCTCCGTGAGGAACAGTGACCCCAAGGGCTGGGTTACTGTGAGGATGAGACAGACCGGGTACAGGGCGAGAGAGGACATTTGATCCAGAGAGCTGGTGAGTGACATGGTTTGGAGAGGAGGAGGAACAGTTACACCCATGGTCCATGCTCGAGGCTGATCAGGACGTAGTCAGCAATGAAACCTTGCCCTTTAACCTGACCCCAAACCTGAGACACACACACACGCACACTCACTCACACACAGACACACACACACTCAC